CTCTTAAAATAAAGTATTATTATTATTATTATTATTTTCAAACACAAAAGTCTTGTACACTTCCCTACCTTCTTGTCCAATCCACATGCCGATCCATCCTGCCTTATGTTTGTCATCGGATTTCTCTAGTGGCCCTTTGAAGATATAACCCACGTGTTGCTTGAACCGATAAAATTCCTGGTACAGATCTCCAGCTTGCCAGTCGAATCTGGGCTGATCGAACGGAAGAGTTGCCATTCCGAATTCGAGTTTCTTCTGACACCATGTAGTATATTATTAACAGACACCGGTTGGGTGTATGATACAGAATTTAATGTGCAGTGGAGCATTCAGACATGGCGGTAAAAAACAGAGATAGCAAGGGCAGATAACCCCAACTTCCGTTAATAGATAAGTCATACCATTATTAGATAAGTCGTACATAAACATACTAAAGTACATTACAGGCTCTTCCAAAATTGTGAATTTCATGGCCCCTGGGTCTGGGATTCTGGTGTTAGGATGGGGCTCTATTAATCATAAAGTGAATATATAATCTTCTTCTCTGATTCTGGGTATTAAATAAATTAAATACATAGTTATGTTGAGCAAGAATGCCTCTTCTAAAATTGTGAATTTTAGGGTCTGGAGTTCTTGTGTTAGGGCGGGGCTCTATTGATTATAGTGAAAATACATTGATTCTTTGAAAATCTTCTTCTCTGCTCCTTGGTATTTAATAAACTAGGTATTTAATAATGATGAGCAAAAATGCCTCATCCAGAATTGTGAATTTTATGGCCCCAGGGTCAGGGGTTCTATATTGTGCTTTCTTTGGGCTCCTGCAAACGGAGCTGCCTATTTGATTTTATATCATGAAAATACATAAATTCTTGGAAAACCTTTTCCTCTGCTCCTGGGTATCAAATAAACTATGAATGTAGTTTTATTGAACGTGAGTAACTCTTCCAAAATTGTGAATTTCTTTGCCCCTGGGTCAGGAGTTCTGGTATAAAGGGGTGGGGGTCTATTGATTATAAATCATAATGAAAATGCATAATTCTTTGAAAATCACCCCCTCTAATCCTAGGTATGATATAAACCAAGTAAGTATATATTTATGTTGAGTAAGAGTGCTTCTTCCAAAACTGAATTTCATGGCCCCAGGGTCGGGGGTTCTGGTGACAATGATGATATTAATTATGTAGTGAAAATGCACGTAATCTGTTTAACATCCCTTAGTAATATTTAGTGTTGAGCAGATGAACGAAGTGCATAGTTATGATGAACAGGGGGTGCTTCATACAAAATGTTTAAAAGTCCGTGGTGCCAGGGTGAGGGGCTTTTGTTTCTAATTTCGGGGGGGGGGGGGGGGGGGGTGTCTATTGAGAATATTGTGAAAATGTGATAATTCTTTAAAAATCTTCAACTAAGTGCAGTTGTATGATGATGAGGGTACCACTTCCAAGTCTGCGAAATTCATTACCTTTCATCATTGGTTTTGGTGTTAAGGTAGGGCTGTGTTGAATCCATTATTTCTTTGAAATCTTCTCTGCTCCTGTGCGTATCAAAAGCAAAGAAAGTAAATGTATTAATAAGCTACGATATTTTTACTGGCCAGGACTGTATAATTCTGTGATGCTACTCTTCCTGCAGTTTTAGTCTGATTTTAATGTAATGCGACATGTACGTAGACTATACTTAGATATTTTATTTTCTGTGAAATTCTTTTTAAAGGCTACTATTTTACAACAGTTATAGTCTTGTTGCAATCTTGTCACAAAAATAGGATTACATCAAGGATCATTATTCTATTTGTGCAAAGTTTCAACTCCAACTGCAATTTTTCTCTTCCTTTCGTATAAGAACAAACCAGTAGAGCTATAGTCTCAACAGAGACGTCTGTTCTTAAGTGAAAATAAACGACGCCCGCCTCCTTTCAAAACACGCGGTTGATTATTTAAGGAACAAGAGTTAACTCTCTTAAGTCACGGGCATCATTTCTTCAAAAGAAACCCTGGCTCTTAATATTTTGCTAGTGAACGAATAAATACAATTTTTTAACACTTAATTGACTTATATTCATGTTTTACTCTTACACAAGTCACCTGCGTGGCGTGTAGGTTAGAGAGTTTCCTCTAGAGTTGCGGTGTAAGGAGTTGGTCCTTACATTGGGAGTTTAATCCTGCTGCAGAACGTGGAGGCCGGTCCTGAACATGAGACTATATAAACAGGGGTCCCGTGTCACTGTAGGTGCTGGCACGAAAGGGATCCTCATTGTCCACGTACGGAATCAGGTAAATATGCAGCCCTCCACTGGCAAGTGATGTATTTTCATATTTTGAAAACCAACAAAACATTACAGCGACTACATTATCTTTTTTTCAGTTTGTTTGGAAATGTATATACTTGGACTCATAAAGTTATTACCCATAGACAACCTATGTAAATATTTTTACATAATAAAACAAATATACCAGATGTAAAACATTTCAGATAATATATTGACAATCACAGTATTCAAGTTCAAAAGTCTGTGGGATTAGGTATAATTTGACATCAGGCCAAAAACCTTTTTCATGGAGGAAAAAAATGGGAAGAGTAATATGTTACAAAATTATTGTTACACCTACTCGCCAAGGTCATCAGGGACTATGCTAGTAAGTCATTCTTGTTTTTTTTCAACAACAATTGTAAAATTAATACCTTATGTAAAACGAACTATGATAAACAGAGCTCGACCAGGATAGATAGCTGACAATATGAATCATAACCATTAACTAAGAGTTATCACCAAATTTTATGGCTGATACGCGTGTGTGATCAATGAAAAATAGGAAGAGGTAGAATTACTTCACAATTATCTGTAATCAAAAATTAAAGGTATTAATCCTGTTTACACTCGCCAGTGATAAATGCCATGTTTTCTGCCAAAGCGTGAGCAAAATATGTTCGTTTTACTTGGCGACTTAATGACCTGTAGTGTTTCGAATTCACCTGAGTGGGTGTTAATGAAAATGAAAAGAGGTCCATGGGTCACATAACTCAATAAAACAAAACTGCAGGTTTGTTTCTAAATATTTTACTATGACCACTTTTTACAATGTTTTTGTAGCCAAAATAGTGGATTGGTTAGTTTGAAAAAATAGTTCACTTGGTGAGACAAGTACTTTGTGGCATGGGGAAATTGGCGCAAAAAAAAAACTTCCTGTATAGAGTGTGACCGGTCGGCAGAGGATGCTCACTCCTCCATGGCATCTGATCCCACCTCTGATGTTTCGGTGGTCCGTATTTGCTCTGCTCCAATTTTGTGTTGCAATTGTTTTATGGACCTTTGATCTTAAATACTGTACGTTATTTCCATATGTTTTATTTCAAAGGACATAAAAACTCCGTCATTTCTTTTTATTAATTGTTTTCAAGGTGACTTTCGTATCGAATACTTCCAAGGCAGATCGTTGTTATACTCTTTCAAGAGTTGCTCTTGAGACTTGAGTGCAGAAATGCCATCAGGAGAGCCCTGTTTAATATCAAGAGAGAAATATTTCATGTTGGTGAAGAATATTTTTAGGTTGGCCTTCTCTGATGTTGCGGTAGATACTTAGCAAAACCCTGTAACTTCAACATTTACATTGGTTCTCATTTTTTGGTACAAAGATGCGGAAAGTGATGACTTCTTACAAACGATCTCCTTGAAAGTACTTTAAAATTAACTCCTTTTTTGGACACAACTCTTATCTATACATGCTTGTATATTTTACCTCCTTTTCCGTCCCAGGTGATTTATTCTGTCTTTCATATAAATAGGAATAAAATGTCTCCTGTTTGTTGAACTCCGTCTCGAAAACTTGTTTCTCATATAGAGACGCCTCCAATTGCCGGTTGAAAGCTGTGAATTTTGACATACACTCAGGAGCAGTGAGGAATCTTTTTCGTGCCAACGCCTGTTGCAACACGAGATTTCGGTTTAAATACGGTCTCATCCGAAGGACAGAACTCAAAGTCCCACGGTTGGAATCTTATCCACAATAAGGATATAGAGGATATTCAATGTTTTGTAGTTGAATATGGAATTTATTTCACGAATGGGACAGGATTTTTGATATTTTCACGAGTGCGAAGCACGAGTGAAAATATCAAAAAATCCTGTCTCACGAGTGAAATAAATTCCATATTCAACTACAAAACATTGAATTTTCTGTTTATTACATTTTTAAAATAATTCTTTGATTTTTCCTTTGCCTCTGTCTTTTTGTAATAAAGTCATAGGCTCGTGACGTCATAGTTGAGCGGTTGAGACGTCATAGCTAAGTGAGGTGAAAACACTGTAAACATGGATTTAGCAACATATTTTTGGTAATTTTGACAGTTTTATTCGCTGTCAGAATGGTTTATTTATTTCCATCGATCTTATATTAGGTCAAGGAAGATTTTTTTACAGCAATTTTCGTTATGGGAAGGGAAATCGAGAGTTTTCCCGCACTTCTGATATTCGTCACACTGTGACAGGATATCATTTTGATATCCTTTCACACTATGACAGGATATCATTTTTATTCAATGAATAAATTACAATATTTCACGGGTAAAAATGTAATAATAAATCCTTAGTCCACGACTCTAGAGAAGACGCCCTTCCACGCGTCACGTTGACGACGAAAGGTTTCTTGCATCTTCTGCAAAGTCTAACGTTACAGTACCCATTATTGCCAAGTACCCATTATTGCCGAAACTAATAAAATCAATTAAAAATCCGCCAATTTGTTGTTGTTTTTAATTATGACGTAAAATACATAAATTACATCATATTCTCAAGTCACCTACCGTTGAGAAGAAAGGAATAAAGGCGAAAGATAAAGAAAACTTACCGTAGATAAGGTAAGCCTTTGAAAACACATCCATTAGGCCATTTTTTTTTATTAGTTGTTTTACGGATTTTTTGGGGGAAAATGTCCATTGGGTGACTACAAAAAAAAAAAAAAAACAAGAAGAAGTGTTCAATGTTCAAAACTTTTAATATGCAGCATATCAAAGCAGTTGGGGAAATCAACCTCAGAACATTGCACAGAAATGTCTTTTTCTTGGCATTCCTCACTAAAAGAGAACGATTCTTCGAGCAGAGAGACATATTATGTGAACAATGCTAAACTTTTCTGTGTATGTCTATGACTGGATACGGGTGTCCTCTCACTGCTACGTCCACATTGCCACAGAAAAACACACTTCAGCAAATTTTACACAACCCCCTGTAAAATAATAAAAGTTTAATCAAATTCAGATAATACCTTTTCTTAAACAGTATAAAACTAAAACTCAGTGCACAATCAATGAACACAAATAAACTTACTAGAATGATAAGTCATCCCCATAGGGTTTCACATTCCTATGACTCTCATACAAACATTTTTTGTCTTAGAACATCCTGATGAGTCAGTTCCTTTTCCAAATCTAAAATTTAAAACTTTAAGAAACATTTCTTTCACATCATTTGATAGATTCATACCTGTACAATGACAAAAAAGTCTTTTGTTTCTCTGACGCTTTAACAATTGACAACACGTCTTGCAGATTTTTAAAATACAGTCAAACATGTGCTTTTAAAAATGTCATAAATAATATATGAACTGTTAACTAACCATTAGATATAACTGTTTAAAACTTCGCCAAACCCTCAAAGAAAAGTTATGGGTGTCAGATGGAGTGCAAGTGACGACATCAGATTTGTTGGTTTTGGCTGTAATTTCCTCAACCACCACACTCCATTCGCTGATCAGATAACATCATATATATATCACCAGCATTATACAGCTCATAAAAACCGTCATACATTTATACATTTAATATTGTTCTTAAAACATTTATATTCTGTTTTAAAAAACCTAAATTGTTTCACATGGCCGTCATACTTATTTCATCTCTGACTATAAAACGCTTGCAGAGTTTTTATTAAAAGGGTCAATAGTAGAAGCGTTTACATGATTCTGATCACAACTAAGTAAAATTCAAACAATGTACGGTCATTTCCGGATTTTTTTTTATGTTTGAAGTAAAGTTCGATCGGCGATTATAGAAAAAGGATTGAATGGAATTTTTATTTTTTTTCCAAAACTTACAAAAATGGGGTCGGCGGATCCGTAAAACAACTAATAAAAAAAATTTGGCCTTAGCATTCGTGCGACAGCACATGTCGTGAAAATTTAGACTAAATATCCCATTTGATGACAGGTCAAGCTCGGTTCAAGTTTAAATCCTTTACATATTTCCCGTCTTGAGATGATACGATATAAAAATATTAAAGTAATTACTTCCAATAAAAGTAATTTACAGAATTATTCACAGAGAGTACGAAGCGTCTGCTTGCTGTGCGACGCCATATTTTCTTTTACCGGAAGTGGATTAAAGATCCACCCCATCTCGCACCTGTCTTCAAAAAAAGGGGCATTACTCATACATTTCTTCAGCAGCAGTTGTTCCTCTTGTTCATCGCTGCTTTTTTTTCTATCTTTCTTTTTTTTTTTTGATTTAACACAAACAAGTGGCAATTATCTTTTTATTTATAAAGATGAAGAAAAGGAAAAATTACACAAACACACAGCTAATGAGTGCTTTAGAGGATATGAGAAAAAATAAAATTTCAGCAGAAAAGGCATCAAGGAAATACAACATCCCAGTGAGAACCCTAAGATACAGACAAAAACATATAATTAAAGGATATCCCAACAGGTGTCTTACCACAAAACAGGAAGAAAGCTTGGTCAATTATATAAAGTACTGTGCAGAAAGGGCATTTCCATTAACAAGAAAAAAGATAAAGGTGAAATAAAAGTTACAAACCAGATTAAAAATTATAACAAATTCAGAATACAATAAAAATCCTATTTACATCATTGATGAAAAAAAATACTGATTTTAAAAACATGAAAATGATGATAAAATAACAAATAAAAATATAATACGGTATGAAATTAAAATGTTTCCATGTTATATTTGTTTACTCCTGATAAATTAATCCCATAAATAAATAGGCATTTGTACGTGAAATCATCAACAAGGAAGGCAACTCCCTGATTAATGTCAATGCTGTAAGTGGACCATCAGACAAATGGTTTAGAGGGTTCTTGAAAAGACACCCTGACATTGCTTTGAGAACACTAGATTCTATTGACCGTGGTCGCTATGGAATGGCCAATTCTACAGTGATGAGTGAGCACTTTAAACTGTTGGAAAAATGTTTGAAAGATTTGGGTAAGTATAAAAAAAAAGAACTCGAGAACAGTAAAACAATTTCAATTGTTCAAGCTCCTTGCTCTGAATTAAAAAAACAAACAAACAAGCAAATAAAGTATCAGTTATTTGTGAATTTATGAAAAACTTCTTAAAACAATACGAGTTACACTATATAAATGTTTTGAATTTGATTAAAATACAAATGTTTACAATTACAACTATTCAAGCTCTTTGCCATTGAATTAAAGAAAAGATCCAACAAATATATCAATACATGTATAACTAATTAGTGAAAAGAAAATCTAAAACAAAATGCAATCCAGTTGAAGAAATTCCATGCTCCAACAAGAGGAAAAATTAGATTAAAAAAACTTAAGCAAAATTTCTTTCATTTTTGAACATTCTATATTTACAAAACAATAAAAAAAATATAATGTATATACATGTTATGACACTTTCTTAGGCATAAGTGACAAGCCTTCTCGAATTTTTAATGTCGACGAGACTGGATTTGGAAAATCTGATAAAAGAGAGAAGGTCGTCACGGAGAAAGTAAGAAACCATACCTATGCCAGAAATGTTGCTTCCATGAGCCATATTACCGCAACCATCTGCGTAGCAGCAAATGGGCAAACCCTCCCTACATTTCTGATATACGAAAATAGTTTCCCGAGTGGATGTTACAGAGATGGTAAATGTCCAACAAAATAATATACAATGTACATGTATTATTGTAACAATAGTAATCCAATACAAATGAACAATCAGCTCTTGCACTATGTTTACAAATATTTAAAAATTGACACCTTGAATTTTATGGTATTAAAAACATGGAACATATCTTCGTTCAAAATATTTACAAATCAACCTGTCCATTACTTTTAAATGTTACATAATTTTTTTTTTTTTTTTTTTTTACATATTTAAGATATTTACATTCTTTTTTTTTTTTTTAACTTTTAAAAATTACATATGTAAACAACAATACCAACATTTCACTTAATTAATAATTCGATCTCAAATAACATCAAAAAGGTTAAATAAAAATTTTAAGTCTCTACCTACTTTATTGTTTTCTTTTACAGATTTTTTTTCTAATAAATAATTAAAATTCTATCAGGTGTTCCTAGAGATTGGCTTTTCGGCACTTCATCGAATGGGTACATGGACGGAGAGCTGTTTTATAAATGGTTTGAGACCATTTTTCTCCCCAACTGTTCTAAGCGTCCTTCTCTTCTCATTCTCGACAATCATGAGAGCCACCTTACTCTGAAGCTCATTCAGCGAGCCAAGGCAGAAGGAGTCGAATTAAATGGATTGCCTCCCCACACCACCCACGTAACTCAGCCCTTGGATGTGGCGCTGTTCAAGCCAATGAAAAAAAAAATTTTCAGACATTGCTGTCAACCTTGGGTATGCAAGGAAAGACTTGGTGATTGGCAAGGCAAAGTACGGACCCATTATTCATGTCTACCTGAAAAAAATTATCTCAGTATCTTAAATTTGAAATTCAGCTGATAAGATAAATTCTTTCCTAAAACTGTCAAATTTATACTTTTGATAATTTCTTCAGAAAACTGATTCTGATTGACAATCAAGTAACTCAAAAATGGTTTGAAAAGATACATGTAGTACAATTAGAAGTTGAATACCTTACAATGACTCAACTTATTATGAAATATGTCAAAGTTGTTCAAGAAGTAACCTTGGTTGCATACACTAAAATCATATTGCATAACACCTGTGTTCCCTTTCCATCTTCAGATCTGCACCAGTGTTATCTTCAGCCATCGACCATTCCTTCAGTCCACACCACATTAAGGAGGCCTTCAGGAAAACTGGAATTTTCCCTTTCAATCCTGACGCCATTGATGTTAAACAACTTGCCCCGGCCGACAAATATCCATTTGCACCCCAAAGTGTGGTCCCTGGTAATTGATTTGGTGATCCTCTAAAATTAAACATGCAAATATACTTTGGCACCACATCTAAATGAAAGAGACAAATTTCAATTACAATAAAAAAGAATATTTTTAACAAAGAAATTCAAACATTTGAAAAACAAAAATACCTGTAATCATCTTATCTTCCATTAAGAAAATCAAGTTGAAAGACATGAAATCCTGTGCCATGCATGTGGGCATTTCTGTGAGAAGCATCCCCTGGTCAGGCAAGGTTTAATTCCAGAAACCTTGTCCGAGATTTTCCTTCCTATCTTTCACGTACCACCTGAGAAAAAAAGAAGGGTTATTACGAAATCAAGAGTATTAACAGGTTAAATTCCAAAGCAATTTTTCTAGTTTATTTCATTTTTGACAATCAAGAAGAACTTATTATTCCCACATATAGTAGAAATAACTAGAAACTGACCAGTCAGCAAGGGCCCCGCCATGGGGTAGAATTAAAAGGGTGCAGCTTACAGAATGATTAAAAAATGTACGAAAATAAGCAACAGCAACTGTATTCTTAAAATTTCAAGATAATTCCTGAATATTCAAAAACCTGAAAATAATATCCTTGTATTTACATTAGGCAGTAAAGAACAACTTAACATTGAATGTATATTTAAACAATTATGATGCTTGTGTTATATAAAATGCCAGCCTTCAATGAATGCAAATATCATGAAGACTTGACCTTAACTTCAAAACAAACAGCAGTTGCAGACAAAGGTTTTCATTAATCTTAAAGTGACAGTTAAAGAAAAGCCTACTAAATTTTCTGCAGCAGGCTAGATAATTACTCCCAAGGGATTAATTGTACCTCTCTCATCATTTTCTTCTAAAGTTAAAATAAGAACTTTTTCAGTTGAAAAAAAGTAAATCAAAAACTCTTCTTTAATCTATTTCTTGTTTTTAGAATTCAATGAAATCATAACTATTAAACAAAAATAAATTATAAAAATTTATATTTAAATCCACATTTCAGAGTGTTCATAGCATTCCAAATTGACTTAACTTCAAAACAAACTTCATTTGCAGACAGAGGTGGTAATTCATCTCAATGTGACAGATAAAGATAATGCTCTGGATTTTCTTCAGAAGGAAAGCTAATTAATCCCAAGGGACTCATAGCAGCATTCAGTTTACAATGGGAACATCTTCAGCAGTTATCTCTCTTTGCCAATGCATTCTTATATAAAGTTGAGGAATCTACCCCACCACCCCAGCTCCAAACCAGGGGACATAGAGAACCAAACTTAGCATCAAAATATGTATTTCTGCCTACTGAACTACCATACCAAATTTGTACTTGATTGGACAACCATAAAAAAAGTTGCCCATTCATTCTTATGCATAGTTAAGGAATCTACCCCACCACCCCAGCTCCAAACCAGAGGACATAGAGAGACAAACTTAGCATCAAAATATGTCTTTTTGCCTACTGAACTACCATACCAAATTTGAACTAAATTGGGCTACCATAAAAAAAAGTTATTAGGAAAAAACAGAAAATTTGTGGACGGAAGAATGACAGACAGACAGACAGAGTGATTACTATAGGGCACCCGCAAATCCTTGCGGGGCCCTAATAAAAATCTTTTCCAGCATCTAATGTAACTTGTTTAAATTCATTTCTATACTTATAGCTATCCAAATACAAATGTAACTTTAAACATTTAAATTGTAGGAGATGAAATAATGGAACAATTGTTGAAAAAGGAGGCAGAGGAGGAGAAAAAAAGGAAGAGGAGAGAGGAAAAGAAAGAGTTGGTAGAAAATAGGAAGAAAGAAGCCGAGAAGAGAAAAAGAGAGGCAGAGGAGAAAAGAAAACAGAGGAAAAAAACACAAAAGGAATCCAGAAATAGAGATTCCGAGGTAATATAACATTACATGTATATATTTTGTGTACAGATTGTTCTCTTTTTATTTTTTTTTAATTCATACAGCTACAGCTAATTTATTTAAAACTAATTAATGTCTACTAATTTCTTATAATTTTCATTTTCATGATTGTAAGGACAATGAATCGTTACCAATTATTCAAAAACCGAAGAGAAAAACAAGAAAACCAAAGGTACGTACAATTATCCAGCTTTTTTTTTCTTACATAACCTGGTACCAGGTGATAACCGTTTTTATGACCAATAAACAACGAAGCAAGACTTCAAAATTCTGAACTTGCCTTATTTTTCTATTTTTTGGGGACCTCAACTATTTTCACTTGTCATGTTTTCTGTGCATGATTACAATACAGATGGGACATAGCAGTGCCAGTGATATTACAGGGGTTTTAACCCTATTTGACCAAAGACTCTGTTCTAATCTTTTAACATAAGCAGAATTTGGGGTGACGGGTCAAGACAAGCATTGTTCTTTTAATAAAAGCAACATAGTTTTTTTTTGTTTATGCGATACTGTGACGATAAAAAAAAAAAAATAGGAATTGAACATACCAGTGATGTTTGTGTGTGTTGGGAGAAAATGGGGGTGGGGGTTGATAAATACTTACATCATAAAATAATTCTTCATTTCTTTAAACATAATTTTCAGAGGTATTTAAATGATGAAGAGCCAGTTGCTGCAGTCGGCGAGGAAGTGGAAGTGGACACTACATTATGTTCTTTCTGCACGAGCCACGAGGCCCCATCAACGAGCACGTCCGATCGAGAATTTGATGGCTGGTTTAACTGCAATGTGTGTGACAGCTGGTTCCACTGTGTCTGTCAAGGCTTTACAAATGAAGAGACACTACCGACACCCGTCCTATTTGCCAAGACTGTGCCAGCTGGGAGGAATAGCGCTGCTTTCTTCTTCACACCCTACCTGTCTGAGAATGCGCTTATCTTGTCTGCGCATGCGGTTGACACACATTGAAAAAAAAAAAATAAGACATTTCATATAAACATTTTAAATCGCGTTTCTGAATAAATATTTTTACTTCAGAAACTTTTATCTGTCTTCTGTTGTCGGCTTTGTAAAATTATTTTGTTCATTTAGCTTTTTATTAGTGAATAATAACAAAAAGATATAAGCGGCAATAATGGGTACTCTACTTCCTGTTTATTGAAGGTCAATGACATAGTTTATTTTTAGCCTGAAAGTAAGTAAATATAGAATTGTTTCAAATAAAAAATATCACTCGTCTTAATTAAATGGACATTGCAGAGATAAGTGAAAAAAAAAAAATTGGGGTCAACTTATAACATGGACAGGACAAGGAAAAATATGGTCTCTTTCGGCAATAATGGGTACTGTGACGTTAAGTCTTATATTACCTTACTTCTAACTGAAGAGTAACTGAATTGAGTGAGCTCCTCCTGCACGTTTGTTAATTATCAGGAATGGTAATGACGAAGAGGGGGAAACTTGAAAAATTCCAGATTTTCAGTTTAATAATAAATGAATCTATAAATTACAGTTCTTCTTCGTACGATTTTTTTTATCATGATGTCGATTGTTATAACTAAGTAGTTTCTTTTAAACAGTATCTTTTGGTGATATCAAACGAACTTCATTGTAGTGGTTAATATTTTACAATTATAGACTTCAGTGTAGGACGTTACATGTAGCTAATGGCAAGTGATATGGACAAAAGACACGAAGTGATAGCGACGGAGCCTGCGAGATACATGTATATATTTCTTACTCAATTTATTTAAAAGCCTCGTGAAAAGCTAATCGGAAATTGATGTTACAGTATTCTTTAAAATGTATTGAAATGTAATATGGCGATGTTCGAGAAAAAAAATAGAGGCACTGTGAGCACTGGGCTCACTAAATGACACCCCGTCGCCCATTTGATGATAATGTGAGGCCAACTTTTTCAAAGGCAAGTTAATTTCAAATCCAATTGTACAAGGGTCAAAAAGTGGGTGGGGATCCATTCAATATTTCCTATAATGAAGGTAATGTTGGGGAAAAATAGCTGTGATTTTGTTCTTCTTTAAAAAGTGGGGGGGCACAGACATACTCTTGCCCCCCCAGATCTGAAAGTGGGGGGGCTAGTGCCCCCGCTGCCCCCCCTGTGACTACGCCTATGGTAAAGAAAAAAAGTATCTCAAATCGAACTTTGGCTTATGAAAGTAGGTTAAAAATGTACGAATTATTAAAATAATAATGTTTCAACTAAGGATGTGTGATACATATTGATTTAGGTTCATTGTGGAGGTGTCCTATAAAAGAAACTAGTACCTGCGTTTTAAATGATAAACGAAGTACAAACATGCTAGGGGAGGGGGGAGGCAAATGTCTACCGATACATTTTGAGTGCTTAAAGTGAAAGTAAGCTCCTCTTTTCAATGTACTAATTTCTGCGAAACCCACGCGCACGGGTGAGGTTAAACATATATAAGAGCTTAGACAGCCTTACCGTGCAAGTGCAAAAATAATAGTACAAGAAATCATTTGCAGAAAAAAGGAATTTAAAAACACCTTTCAATGATGTAAAATGCGAATGTTTAGTGCTTCAAACAAACTCGATACTAAAAAATATGACAAATTACAGCTCCGAATTACCCGTAACCATAAATCTACGTTATTGTTTAGTTTCCGATAAGATCGTCGAACTTGGACCACATCGTGGATTGCCTGTTATCGGAATTTCAAATATAAATGGGAAAGGATGATGGGTATAATTCCGATTTTATCAGTTCTTTTTAGGCACAAAAACTTATCATTGATGATTTAGAAAAATATTTGCATTATTACATTATCTCCCTTAATTGTAAGGTACTTTTATAATTTTTAAGGACAGATAAAGTTGTTTACACATATAACACTGTTCAAGAAGTCCATTTAAAACCCACCCTCGGTGCATCTTTCAGTAACAGTAACTAAGAAATTACAATGCATTTCTTAATGAAATAAAGATGCTTCCCCAGGGTGTTGTTATAGATCTAGATGCCACTTTATGTTCTTATTTGAGAAAAAAAACAAAACATTGAGCATTTCATTGGCGTCGGAAGCAAATTGAAAGTGGGGGGGGGGGCTAAGTCTAAAAAAAAAAATTAAAAAAAACCTGACAAGCAAAAAAAAAAAAAAAACGAATAAAATAGGGAATGTCCATTTCCCAAACATGAAAATCCTATTTCGTTGGGGGGGGGGGGGGGGGGGGGGGGGTCGAACTTCAGTACCAAAATTTTAAACACCACCACTTTCACCATTTTTAACAAACACTGCGACGTGTCTGTGGAAAGTTGGGGGGGGGGGGCTAAACATACGAAACAATGTTCAATGTCTATACTAAGTATATATTTGGAAAAAAAAGTGGGGGGGGGGCCCCCCCCCCCCCCCCCCCCCCCCCGTTCCGACGCCTATGCATTTTTTTCATTCAGCACTGACAGCCTGTTATACAACCTAAAACTTACTTAAGGGTCCTCCACACACCTTCAGCTTGTGTTCTTATATTAAAAAGCATATAAAATTTCGCAAATAAATCAATCATTTGAAAATGAATAGGTGTTGTTATGTATTTTATATGATTTTTTAAAGATAATATTTAAAAAGTATAAAGAATATTTTTTTCAACAAGTCTTCATTAATAGCACCTACGAGTTATTTTCATCCTCATACTTACTACTTATCTAATTAAAAAATAACAAAAACTAAATTTATGAAGTCATCATTTTTACATCGTCTCAAGCCACGGTCCGGAGTCCGCATATATAGCTCTATCCTACCCGTGGCTGCTTGATCACAAAAAGTGTCGTAATCATGAATATTTACGCCTCGCTATTGTGACGTCATATTCAGTCAGTGGCATGTTTTGTTTCCATCGCAATCGAAATCAACAACTGACGTCAACAGTATACAAGAACTATTTCCTATACTGCAATTGGATATTGAAAGGTCGCGATAAAGTTCATCATCCGATAATGCTTTACTCGCATTGGTCAATATTTTAATGAGCTACGAAGAATTCTCTCCTCGTTCAACCACGGCCAGATGGGAGAGGAGCGTACATTTTGGCCGTGGTTTGCGATGATGTCATTTTTAGGTCACTGAGTAACTCAGGTTACCTATTGCTATCCGTTTCCGTCCGTCGTCGTGCGTCGTGTGTTAACATTTGAACATTTTCAGCTTCTTCTCTGAAACCACTGAACTAATTTCAACCAAATTTGGTATACAGCATCTATGGGTGAAGGGGAACAAAAATTGTGAATTTCATTGTCCCCGCCCCCCTGGGGTCTGAGCGGTGGGGCCGAAACGACTAAAATTATTGCAATCTTTAAAAATCTTCTTCTTTACTCCTGGACATCAAGCAGGCACACTGTTGGTATGAACGTCATGAGCGTTGAGTCCTCTACCAAAATTGTGAAATTCATGGCCCCAGGGTCAAGGGGTTCTAGTGCTAGGGCGGGGCTATATAGATTATATAGTGAAAATGCATTATTTCTTTGAAAATCTTCTTCTCTGCTCCTGGGTATTAAACAAACTAAGTACATAGTTATGATGAGCAAGAGTGCCTCTTCCAAAATTGTGAATTTTATGGCCCCAGGGTCAGGGTTTCTAGTGCTAGGGCGGGGCTATTTAGATTATATAGTGAAAATGCATTATTTCTTTGAAAATCTTCTACTCTGCTTCTGGGTATTAAATAAACTAGCTAAGTACATAGTTATGAAGATCAAGAGTGCCTCCTATAAAATTGTGAATTATATGGCCCCAGGGTCAAGGGTTCTGGTGTTAGGGCGGAGCTCTATTGATCATATATTGAAAATGCATTATTTCTTTGAAAATCTTCTTCTCGGCTCCCGAGTATTAAATAAACTAACCAAGCACATAGTTATGAAGAGCAAGGGTGTCTCTTCCAAAATTGTGAATTTCATGGCCCCAGGGTCAGGTGTTCTTGTGTTAGGGCGGGACTCTATTGATTTTATAGCAAAAATACATTAATTCTTTGAAAATATTTTCCTTTGCCTATGGGTTTTATGCCAATGATCCAAGTATATATATTTATGATGAAGAAAGGTGCATCTAGCAAAGTGGTTTTTTATGCCCCCTGGGTCAGAGGGGGGTGGGGGTTTACATAGTCTGAAAATAAATTAATGCTTTGAAATCTGCTCTTTGGTATTAATCAACCATTTTATGATAAAATTTGCAAAATTTTGAAATATGTGGCCCCTGGGTCAGTGGTTCCTTTGGGGTGAGGTGCACAACTGGGTATAAAGAGGAAGTGCATTTTCTCTTTGTTACTCTGATCTACCTCTGGGTATTAAGTAAATAGAGTAAGCATGCTAAATTAATAATTATGATAAGCAATGGTGCCTCTTTCAAAATTGTGAATTGTGAATTTCATGGCCTCTGGTTTAAAACACGAACCAAATTTAATTGTTTGAAAGTTGTTACACAATATTCAGGTGACCTATAAGGCCCGTGGGCCTCTTCTTTTATTAGAAATTAATAAAATTCGTCAAAAAAATGAAATAAGGCATTTTCTCTTAAATTTGCATCTGAAATATTCGGATATCCTTCTGAAAATATACAAGAGAAGTTGATGACATGAAATAACACATGAAATTGAATAAAATTGATGCAAATTATAAATAAAAAATTATTTTCAAAATTTATAGTTTCAAAGTTCCTTTTTAAGAGTTATCTTTCCTGTTACCAAGGTCTCAAAAACACTGGGTGGACACCGCATTAAAAAAAAAAACATTTCGGTTCTTTTTGACATGAAAAGAAACTACAAATGATATTGTAACTTTTATGACATACAGAAAAGCAACTAAGTGTTACATTAAAGCAAATCTGAGCAAGTGATTTGAACTTTTTCAAAGAAAATTCACTGTTAAATATTTAAGTGCTAAGTAAAATAATAAATATAGATCAATCAAATAATTAATGTTTTGATGATGATCATAAAATAAAAAATATCA